TTGATGTTGTGACAATAAAACAAAAAATTAATTTTTGGCCGAAGTAGGTTTTGAGGCCTCCAATTGAAAACCCAACACGTTGTTACTCTTTATACTATTTTCTTGGCTACAATAATTTATTCTTTATTGTTTTAGTGGGACACGTAAGTACTGTATTTTGTTTTTTCTGGCTTAAATGGTCATTACTGGTGGGTAGTGCATTGAATTTATTTCTAAATTGCAGGGACCACAACTATGTATGCATATACGAATGTATAAATGATGGAATATTAGAATTGACTATCCAACGGCTTTAATTTTAATATATTAACGGTGTAAATTTTTTTATATGATTAATTATTTTAAGATGTAACAATTTATAATATTTTCAATATGTGATTAATGACGCACAATAAAAATTTATGTGTGGCTTTTTTTACAAAATATTATAGAATTTAATTTATTAAAATGTTCTGACTCTACTGGATGTTAAAATATGTTTTTTATTTTTTTTATTTTTTTTCTTTGAAGATTTAACGATTTTTTTTTTATTATTTCATAAAATATATCAACAATTTGTGTTATTTTTTAAAAAAAATTCTTATACAAGCCTAAAAAAATATTATTTAATGAAGTATGAGACTCTTGTTTTTAAAAGAATTACAATATTTAAAATATGTTTAAATATTTATTTTTAAAAAATGTATTTTTCGTTTTCCTCGTCTGGGACATGTCCTTCTTCAGTGAGTCCGAAAGATCGGAACCCGATTTCGCAGTTGTGAAAGTCGTGCTGCCGTGACCTCTGCGTCAAAACCACTGTGAGGATGTCTTTTTTTTTGGGGGGACAGTAATCTTCTTTTTGCTTTTTTTTTTTTTTAATTATATTTCATTATTTACAAAAGTGTGCCACACCTTTTATTCCTAAGCTGGGATGTTCATCCAGAAAATAACGTTGTTTCTTCGAGAAAGGTCCTCTTTCATTGAGTGAGAAGGATTGGATTGGAAGGCATTCTTACTTGTTCAATTACAGCATGTTTCAGTTTATTTCCCCTTATATTTTTCATTTTGTTTTACCTAACATCTAATTTGTAAACATATTTTGCAGAAAGAAAAACATCTTTTGGGGTCAACCAAAAACTATTCTGATAACAATAAATTGGCAATGAATGTACAGAATCTGGAATCGTTTGAAATCTAAATTGGACTATTGGCCCATTATTGAATTTATCCACAACCCGCTTAGCTATGTTATGTTTTTGTTCCTTAAAAGGGTGACTGACAATCGAACAACAACAAAAAAAGAGAGTGAGGGATTTGGATCTTCATGTGAACTAAGTTTTATTTTTTCTTAAAGTAAATATTTAAATTGTTCTTCTGTTAATTTTAGCAAAATGGTGGGTAATGCATTGTTTCATTCATTTGAACGTAGAGCGTTATGAATACTGTTCTTCAAGTGTATCTACACTGCTAGAATTTTTCAAGAAAACACATAATTAATATATATATATATATATATATATATATAGATTTTTTATTTAATTTATATTTAACAAGTTATAATTTATTATTTTACTAGCTGTTATATGTAAGTTAAATGAAATGTTTAAATTAGATATAAGAGTTTTTAAACTTCCACTCATGTAAGAAAATTCTTCTTTATATATATATATATATTGATCTAGAATTTTTTAATTAAAATATAAAATTAATATATTAATATTATTATTATTTTAAATATTTTTTACTAATATTTTATGTATTGTTAAATATACATTAAAAACTATTTTATATATAATTTTTTGTAATATATGTCTTATAATGTATAATAAAAAGTTATGTATGATAAATTTTTATTAAAAATAATAAAATTTCATACAATTCAATACACTACTAATTCAAATGTTATAAATTTTAATAAAAAATTACTTATTTATTTATTAACATGTATTCTCATGCATACATTAAAGAATCTGTTCTATACACTGTAAAGCATTGCATTAATTCAGCTGATGACTTGAATGTTTTCAATTAGATATTAAATGTATTGAAACTAACTAGAGATGATCATGATATGTACACGCAAAATAACGTCTGATGATATTAAAAATATTATTTTATTGAGATAAAAATTTAATTTTACTTAAAAATAATATTAATTTTTTAAAAAATACATACTTAGGATACGGTTGATTTCTCTTTCAGAAAGAGTTTTCAATTTTTATACTATATTTAGAAAAAAAAAATTCTTTTAAAAATGAGAAACAGCCGTACCCTTAATTTTTCTTACTATTAATATATTTAGATGCTCTTTCGTATATCTCTTATGTGTGAAAGAGAGAATTACACAAAAATAAATTTAAATCTTATATAAATTATAGAAAAATGTAATTATAGTTATTTTTGTATTTGTTTTTATGAAATGATAATAAGAAACTTTTTAAATCTATTGACTGTTAGATTTAATAATAGATGGGCAGTTTTAATCGATTGAATAATATATTGTTTAATGGAATTCCTTTTACAGGGTTGACAAAGTACGTATGCAACGAAGACATGTGTCTTCAGCTTAAGTTTGGGACTTGGCAAGCAAAGGCATTACGTGTGCGCACCCGTAGTAAACAAACAAAATCTTCATAAAATCCACTTTTCAAAAGTTGGGTTCGAATAACACATCACGGACTTTTTGCAATTTTTTTTTTTTTTTGGGCAGAGGCTTCTTTGATTCTGCGCCCACGCATCACGCATGATCTATACACCCCTTTTTAGGTCTTTTTAAGTTCCAAAATACCTATACTTGGTTTTATGTACTATGCATGGTGCGTTTTTACTTCCTTTCCTTTTCATTAATTATATATAAATAAATTACTCAACCCCTTAATCACGCCGGGGTTTAAACCAGGGATAAAAGACCTAGTACAGGTGGTCAGGTCAGGTATGTCCAAGAACAAAGAGATTCGTCAAATTAAATGAGACAAGTAATAAGCTTGAATTTTACATAGCTTTCACACCGATGGGTCATCGATCAACATTCTAGAAAATATAAAGAATAAAATGTATGCAGTTGGAGTTGAACGAGGGCATTGGAGGGGGGCCTCATAGGAAGGTGATGGCGATGGGTTAAAATGGTGATGAAAGTGATGATGAGGAGGCAGATTAGCAGTTTCCAGGAAAGTGTCCTCTTTTCCCGGAAAGTCCCTCTCATGATATTTATTGGTCCACACCACAGCATTATGAATGAAGTGTGGAATTCAATACACTAATATATTATCTAAAATGAAACCTACCCGTATTATCTCAAATAAAGTTTTCTATTTGTAAAATGTGTATAGGGACAGTTGGTGAGAAAAAACGAGGAAGGTATTGCAGAGTATGAATAGTGGGAGAGGAGTAATGAGAATAGCGTGTGAAGGGAAATAGGAAGAGGGGTTAAGATTTAGTGAGAAATAAAGGAAGTTAAGATTGAGAGAGAGTGTCGTTACCATTGGGGCATCACGTGGAGTGTGACCCACCAGTCCCCTTAAAGGCAAAGCATCTCACGAGACGGCACCGTATACACATAAATCCACTCTCTTATTTCAAAGTGAACCATCCATTCCTTTCTTTCTACTCCCATGTCTCTCTCATTCCATCCCTCTTTAAGCAACTCATTTCCAGACACAAACACGTGAGCTAACTTCCCTATCCACACCTTCCACCTTCCCCACTCATCTTTTCCACCATCATTCATATTTTCTTTTTCAAATTACTCATTCTTTTTCCTAACTCGTGTTCGTTAATATAATACATACGGAATATAATCAAAATTTAAATTGTTTTTTTTTAATTTAAAAAACAGTTTTTCTTTTGCAGAATCTTAAACATTAAAGAAAAAAATAGGAGTACATAATAAATTATAATATGAATATGCACAAATATAAACGAATGTAATTGTTTTAATTCATATAAATATTATTCAACTGTCGTTGTTTTAAGTATCTGTACGTTTAATATGTCCATTGTTTTACTTTTCTTTTGTTACTGTGCCGGTTTTTCTTCATTGACTCTGGTATTTTTCCCCGGTCCATTAAGATACTAGTCTTTTTATTTCTTTATTTTCAATCTTTAACTGGATTTTCTTACCAGTATAGCCATAAGATGAACTTTTGAGCTAGACGGTGATTTACTGAAGTCTTCTCCAGAATAAGCCTTACACTATAATTTACAAATTAAGTTTGACCCGATGCCGTAGTCAACTATCGGTATGACCAACCAGGTTTTACTTGAGACAATTCTGTTTGACTGAATTATAAATAAAAGATAGTAATTACTGATATTTTCTCTCCTGGGGGTAGAACAATGTTAATTTTCTGTTGTCATTCAATAAATGGTACTACGTATAATTAAACTCATCACCCGGAAAGATGTTGTAAAATTGTTTTCAATTCTTTTAAGGGAACTCGACGTATGATATATATATTGTCTTAAGGTTGAGTACTTTTAAAAATTAATAAGAATTCAATTTTAATAAAAAATATATTATTTATTTTAATAATTTAAATATAATAAATTTATTTTTTTAATAAAAAGTATTACTTTTTTTAAAATTTAAGTTAACAACAATATATATATATATATATATATATATATATATGAATAGAATCTATTCACACTATGTAAATTTTTAAACTTATACTAAATATTAATTGTATAAATCAATAATTTAACAATTAAAAAATTATTTTATATATATATATATATATTTATATTTTATTATTTTAGTCAAACAACTTTTTAACTATTAAATTATTAATTTATATAGTTAGAATACGGTGTAGTTACATCCTATCCCACTGTGCTTATGTATCATAGTGCTTTACCTTGTCCAAAAAGTTATGTAAGAAGTAAACTTGTTATAAATTACTTGACTCCGTATAAAATAATAATTTCAACCGGTGTATTAAGAACTACTGAAAGAAGTGTAAAGACATCTTCAACATCAAATCCAAAAAACAAAAACAAAAACAAAAAAGAAAGACATCTTACACAGGAAAAAGAGATGCACATTAACTTGCGGCCATGGAATGGAGAACAAAATCAGATTAGCCCCCACAATCGGCCAGGTATCTTTTGATTTTTCGATGCAAGGGGAATAAATGGCTGTTCACAACATTAACATTATCTACCTTTCTATATACAGGCTTACCATGAAAAATTTATAAATGAACAAAAAAGGAAAATCTAATTCCTTTGTAGACGGATGCGTTCTATAATGATTTATATAAACATACAATAGAGGAAGGAAAAGCAAAAAGTAAATTTAATCAACAGTTACTATTTTCAACAGTATTAGCTAATTACAAGGTTTCCCCTAGCTAGACGTATCCCTCAACCAAAAAAATACAATGGTTGTGGGGAACAATACTCTTGTTCTGTTACCTCTTCGCCCTGAAAAGTGAAAACCTAACGATAATTATAATCAACATGCTGCAGAAGGATTGGCGAAGGGATTGTAGAAGTGAGTCTTGGGAGCCATGGAGAAGGGGCTCTTATTAGAACCGCTATCATTGACGCCACCTAGCCTCTCGCAAGAGGGGCACATGGTGAGTGTAGCCGCAGGCATAGGCATGTACAACGGTTGTGATAGTTTCAGTGCCTTCAGCTCTTGCAGCTCCTTCTTCAGCCTCCTATTCTCGTCCGTCAACGTTTCACAGCACTTTTTTAAGAACTCGCAGTCCACCTCCGTCTGCTTCAGCTTCGTTCTGCAACAGCCAAACCAAAATCTTAATCTCACCTATACCGCCAACATATGTTATTATGACCTCAATCTGTCAAATCCGTAAGACTCCAGAACTACAAGTTCATTAAGGAAAAGCCTTTCTAATTAGACGACAATAGACATGGGAAAATATGAATAGCGAATGATTGTAGGTGTTAATTAATTATATTGTTTAACTTTTAAAACTATAACTTTGTTATGTCACACGAACGAATATTATTAATTTGTGCTTGATGATTATATATATGCGTGAACACGTAATAAATTTTTTTATCCAGTGAACATATTGATTTCCTTGGCTCTCTGGTGCGGTTTGATATTTTAGAGGTGCTGATTTTTAACCAAAAGATTACGTACCTGGCTCTCCGATTCTGGAACCACACTTCAACTTGTCTAGGCCGTAGATTTAACTGCCTTGCTAAAGCTTGCTTCTGTTTCTGTAAATCCAGTCCAAGACAATAATATTAATAAAATAGTTGTTAAAATTCGTGAATAATAGCATGTTAAGAAACAATTAAATTTTAAAAAATAATCGTTTTCTTTTAAATAAAGTGAATGAAACATGCATTAAATCTTGTTAATTAAATAAGTAGAGGAGAGAAAATAATTATAAATATAATTACAGGATTGAGAGTGCTATGTTGTTTGAAGCTGTCCTCTAGCAGTGCGGATTGTTCTTTGGTAAGCCTGAGCTTCTTTCTGGCATTGGAGCCGTCTTCGTCTTCATCACTGACTCTTGAAGAGAGCCTCTCTTCGGCCTCTGCCTCTGCCTCTTCGCAGCTGAAATCCCTCTCCCTTTTAACCATCCTCCCACTTGAGAAAGAGGAAACAACGCTGTGAGGTGAAGTTTGTCTAGACAAGTCAAGAGGGTCCTCACAATAAACCTTGTTGTTTCTGGTCACTTGTTTGGCCAGGTAATTACTCTCACCGGAAAGACTCAACGTTAAAGATGGCTCATTCGAGGAATTATTATAAGGCTTTGTTGGCGTTGGCTTGAGACAAAGTTGATCATCAGCTTTGGTGGAAGGAGGAGATGAAACAGTGAGAGATAACCCTAGAACAAGCTGAAGGCCGGAGTTATTGTCGTCCTGATCTAGACCCATTTGAGAGACAGAGAGAGAGAGAGAGAGTGTGTGTTTTAGAGGCTGGAGTTATGTACGTATCTGCGTGAGATGGGAAATTAGATGGTGTGGTTTAAAGGCTCATGGGATTAGAAGGGTCTTAAGAAGAGGAGAGAGAGAGAGAAAGAAAGAGAGAGAGAGGCAGAGAATGAATGAGACCTTTTGTGGGGGCGTTGGGTGGGTGGGTGGGTGGCTATGATTATTATTAATCAAAGGGAGGAATGAGTAGCGAAACGAATCTTGATATTGCTAACCAAATAATGAAAGTCCCTTGTAATATCTCTTACATAGGTTGACCATTCAAGCCCAAGTACTGTTACGTCAATTATAATTATAATTATAATTATAACAGACAAACTTGGAAAATCCTCTCTCTCTCCAATACCTGGGATCCTACTGTTCTCACGGTAGTGCAAAGCAAAACACATCAAGCGGGTTGGCTTCACCACCAACAGGCGTACCTGATATAACTATATGTTAATATTACTATACCATACCCGTTTTACCAATATATATATATATATATGCTTCCTTGCGTATGTAGATAGCTTCACTTTACATTGTACCAATTATTGGCCCCCTTTAGTCCTGCTTTACTCGTGTCCCAGTAACTTTTTTCTCCCCGACGTTTATTCATTTTCTCATCGTTGCTCTTTCGTTATTTATTTTTCACATTAATCTGGCCCCTATCTCTCTCCCTGTCTTATACACACACACGGACACTTATTATTGTTAATGATAAATGATAAACTGTCCATGCATACGCATTAGCACTCATGCAAAGATTGCTGCGTAGGTTATTTCGAAAATAAATATTACAAAAGCAAAAAATTAAGAGCATGATTGGAAATAGGTGTATAATATATGTGTGTCACAAAGTTTTGTAACTATAATAGACCCACATGAACTGTCTCCCACTTCATGCCTGGATGAACTAGTTAGAGATGGGTACCATGTCACTTTGCTTGCCAATCTTGCATACTCTATAATGAATTGGGAATGAGAGGGATAGTTGGGCGTTTTTTCTCTAGCTTATTATGAATGTGGAAGATTAGAAAGGGATGTGCACTACTTGTTTGTTTCCAATAGAAAATAAGATAAAAGAAAAGTAGGTACAAGACAGAAATGGAGTTTCAAAGAGTTATAATGGTGCCAGAATATGATTCATCAACAAGAATCCGGATCTTTGCTTAACTAGAAAGTTGATGTGGAGTGTTTGGGACCTACTTTTCTGTGTTAGTACTATAAGCACTTCCAATAATGCATTGTCGGCGATGCTGAGCAGAAGTTAGGTCACCCATAATTAATGATCGCAAACCCAAAATAATTAGTCAGCACTCGGCAGGAAATCACGGCGTTACCACCAGGTTTTATATATGGATGGATGAATACTTTTAAATTTTCTTATCTTTTTCGTTTACAAATTTATTTAAAAGTTTTGTTATATCTTTTTGTAATATTTTTAATTTTATATATAGTAAGTGTTAAATAAAAAATATGTACATTTATTATTTTTAAAAATATAAAAAATATTTAATACTTTCTTTATTTAGTATAATTTGTAAGCATATAAAACACGAGAATTTAGAATTATTTTTTTATAATTATTGTTACTATACGAAAAAGCTGCGGAGTATTTTTTTTTTTATATTTTAAGATAATACATTTTTATTTAATATTTAATTTATAAAGTAATACCAAAATTTATTGAGAGTACATCATGAATTACTTGTCCGCACGTCATCAATTGAATGACTAAATTAAATATTTAGTTAATAAATTATTCAATTTTTATTTTGATAAAATTTATTAAAATAAGCTAAAAACTATTATTAAAATTATAAATTATTTTTATATGCTAAGATACACTCTTTATGAAATCTGTCAAACGCCACTAAATTATTTAATCTATTATTTTTTATAGATATACATACTCATTTAATCTACTTTATAAAAAATTTACATTACACTCAACTAATCTTTAGTTCGAGTAGGTTAATAAGTTATTATTTTAATTTATTTTAAAATAGTTATAATTATAACTTATTAATATAATAATTTTAAAAAAGAAGTAAATATATGTTAACAAATTTCATGTACACACACCAAACATTGTTTAATGATAATAAACTCGTTCTCACTGAATGTTATATATGTATAAGAAATTCCAAGGGAAAATATCCTCTTTAAGCTACTCAAGCTTAAATGGGAATTGGATTTTAAAATTATAATTGGTACTTTTATTAAAATAAGAATAATCAATTAATTGAGTAGGATGTTCGATGGGAATAAACCCACGCATCTTTGTTTTTAACTTTAATTGGATGCATCATCATGGGTACATAAAAAGTTGCCGGGGGCAAATGATTATTTTGAAAATAAGAATGCAAGTTGTTTTTCTTTTCGGTACCTGAATCTAATTCCAATCTCCTCTTCGATTACAACAAGGTCAAAAAGAAGAGGGAAACAACCTTTTTCTTATTTTTTTTTTTTAAATGCAAGAAACACGACCTTTCAATTTTCAAACAGAAAATAATAGTAATTTCTGCGAGTGTAGGGCATTAGAAACTGTATCTTGGAAGCTTTTAAGAGCTGCTGATGATTTTTGAGGATGAACATATTTCGTTATGGGTAGGTATTTATGACGTCAGGTAAATATTTTAATAATTCTGAAAAATAAAACAAGAATAGCAGAGAAGGCTCCACAACCTACGACACTAGAACATCTTCGATGGGTTTGCTTAAAACAGAAACTCCATTGATTAAAGATATAATAAAAGCCACAAATCACAATATGTTAATCATTAAACAAGTAAGATGATCAGGTGTCATATACGAAATATTTAAGAACGGGATTAATGCAGAGCTTTTGTCAGCAAGTGGCTGAATACCAAAAGGAAAAGTAGACGAGTAACCGTTGCTTTTGTTTTGATTTGGGACCCAGCGCGAAGTAGATAGAATTTGACTTTGAAACAGTAAAGAAATTAAAATTGTAATTTGTAAGGTAAAAGGAAATGGTTTGATACACGAACACGAACATGAACATGAGGTGGGATATAATAATAATTAATTACATAGTATATATCGGGTATTATTCTCCCAATGAAGTTTCACTTTAATCACAATATTCATATGACCGATGCATCCGTGGTGTTGGCACTAATCAAATCACTAATTTAAGCAATCTGATTCCACATCACATCGACACAACAAAGTGACATAAAACCCAACAAAGCAATGGTGGTTCTAATGTCATCTCCACCCTTGTTATTGAAAAAGAAGAAGAAGAAATATAGATAAGAAAAAAACAGGTGGCGAGCAAAGATGGGGGGCACGAGGAGAGTGTACGGGTAAGAGACATAAGGGTCCACCAATGATTTGGTATGATGGGCATTTGATTCCGTGGGAGGTAGATGATTATGGAGCGTAGAAGTTGGGAGTGATAGATAGAGGGATGAGGTTATGAGAATTTGAGATAAGGTTTTCGTGATGTTTGTTTGTTCCTCCTGCCTTTAAGGCCAGCCGACCATGTTGCTTTCTCCCTGTTCCACCCTTTTCCATCTTCTTCTTTATTTATTATCAGATTAATTTTCTTTTCTTTTCTTTTCCTTCTTCAATATTTTGTCTCAGCTCAGCGTGCGTACCAAATCTCCTATTCAAGGAAACAATGGCTTACTCAGCGTCTGCACTACCCCTGCAGGGGTCCACTCAGTTGCCACACGTTATAGCCCCTAAATTATTTCATACTCATCTCTCTCTCGCCTCTTTCTCTAATTTGTATTTACTATTGCACCATCTTTTAATAAAACTCCTTTTTTCCAAGGGGTTGAATAAAAGTCCTTCTAGTTGATATATGATTAAGATTTCATTCAGACAAGTAAAAAAAGGTTGCGGAATTTATCTGAGATTATTCACTTGTCAACACAAAGGGTATGAATAAATTTATTAATTAAATTTTATTGTGGTATGGCTCTTTTTAAAATGTTACCTGTAAAAAAAATTATAATTTGGGAGGGCCTCGTAGAAAGAGTATTGGGGTTTAATTTTTAATAAACTACTCTTCATCTCCTCCTTTGAAAACTTTGAATGTTCATAAAAAATAAAATAAAAACTCTTTGAAGGAAAAAAATTAAATTTGAAAATTTTAAAAATATTGTACGGTTTTTATTTTTAATTTAAAAATTTATCCTGCTCTATTTTCTCCTTTCTCATCAAATTAATCAAAGGATAGACCCATAGTCTACCGTGTAAGTATTTGAAAATTAAATGAAATAGAATGTAATAAAAAACATAATTAAGATTTGTCCACAATCCTTAAACTAATGCATTTTAATTAGAAGCCTTGATATCATATATTATAAGAAAAGAGATTGCTTTATATTGGTATAATTCATATTTACGTTAACTTCATTCATCATTGTTTTCATCGAATAATTTAATTTTAAAATCTACGTACTATTAGATGAATTTTTTGTATCATATAAAATATATTTATAAAATTAATTTAGATAAGTTCAATTAAAAATCATTCAAACATAATTTTAAAAATAATTACTACAAAAAAACGATTTTTATTAATTATGTAGTGATCTATAATTAAATAATAATATAATTTTTTTATATGGTTGATGTGTTTTAATTATATTCCTAATTAAATTGTATTTTATTAGTTGGACTTCAATTCAAATTCAATTATTACAGTGGAACTATTTAACCTTGACTAATTCGTTAAGTTATCAAGTTGATTTTTAGAACCGTGATGGAGTTATATACACGCAAAAGAAGATTTCTCTAACATAATTTTACAGTTCCGCATATAAATATCTATCATGTACAAGTCATACTTGGATTCAAGTACGTATGTATAGGAGCCTATTTATTTCATGTATGAATGCGTATTTAAGTGCGCATATAAAGTACCTGATATAGTCGCTTGAAGGCTGAAGCGAAGCAGCGCTAGCTGTCTTTGGACGTGACTAAGGTGTTCGTGCTCCTTAAAAAGTGGATATAGAATATTACTCAAGTAAAAAGTGCAAGCATAAGTGGTCCTTATCTGAAAAACTAGTTGATAAAAGTCTATCTGATTATGCCTTTGCAAGTAGAACTGAGAATATTCGAAGAAAAGGACAGCATAAAAAAGGAGAAATTTTGAATGCTCCTAAGTTGCAAATTTCTTACGGAGCCCTAACTATTAAATGTAGTATGAT